TCCTATGATCAAAAGGATACTAAATATTGTTCTTCAAAAGTACTGCGTAGTACTCCGTACATGTTATGCTAATGCAAGGTTGTATTATATATTTTGTAAATGTCATCTTTGACTTTCTCAGTCAATGATGATAAACTTTATCAAATAGTTATACTCGGAGTATAATTTTAGTTGGTAATTTAGTATTATACTTGTGTGAATGTTATGAAGACCTTTGTCCCCCTAATATTGGAACGGAAGGAAGTTGTATGGTTTTTAAGAAAAGAAGAATTATGTGGTTGATAATGAGTTGATAAAATCATAATAAAGTAAGAATGAATTAGAACCACACAAATGTTACCAAATATGATATAAGATCATACTAAGGGGCATTCAACAAATGAAAAAATAGGACAATTATAGGATCGGAGGACGGGGGTATAAACTTTATGATTATGAAAATATTTTTAATGGAGAACATTATCAAATCACTAATTTTACTCCGTATAATTATTTCATATTTAAAAATACCATTGGTCAAAGCTAAACCTCTTACCATGTCCATCAATCCATGATATGAGTCTTATCTTTTACACTAAATTGGCCGTGGTCTTCAATTCAATGCGGCTTCTACTTCTATCTATGAATCATGCCCTTGCTGGCCTTGCATGCCCCCTTCCCTACTACACATTATGAACTAAATATGAATATATAATTGATATCTCATTGAAGTATATATACTTTAATTAGTACTCGATCTACGTGATGGTCAAAATGGATAATTTGAAAAAGATTTTGCATATCTCAAAGTATATCATTTGAAAATACCAAAAAGATCGAGTTTACTTGTTTAAGATGTGCAGTTCTATGGTACGTAGTATTATCATTGCAGGTGTGAGGGAAAAACCCATATTTCCATCGCTAGAAAACCGTGTTAAACAAGTCACTCATATTTCCTTGTGGGTTTCCCTGTTCTGTCGAGTTCGTATTTCAGTATGGCCGGTTTTACTCATTAATTTATTGTCCCCCCTCTTTGGGCTAAAGGGACATCTCGAAGTATTTGACCTCCATAAACTTGATGTAAATAACAAATTCATATATCTCAAGATTTAAGTGTTACTTACTACTAGTTTTTATGCAATGCTAACTATAATACTTGACAAATGCGCTCATTTAAATGTTATCAATCGAACGTGTCGAAGTCTGATCCGATTTGATCTGGTCTAGTATGATATTATCTGGACTTATGTGTGTGGTCTAATCTGTTCTGATATGATCTGGTTTGGTCTGATTTGATCTACAGCTGAATTAAGTCCAAGTAAAAACATGTAAACATCCTGATTACATTCCCACATTTCCTAAATTAAACCATTACATTAAAAAAATGTACGGAGTACATGTCTTCAAGGCGCAATGTCCGTTTCAGTACCATTAAAACTCGCTTTCATCATTCTCTTAATGATTTCATAAGAACCTAAATCAACAAAATGTTAGAATTGTCATTAAATTAGCTAGTTATAAGAGGAAGGTACACTCAACTATCCGATATAATATGTCGTTCCCGATATGGTTCTTACTTTTTAACCTATACACCAACGGCCCCACCAATTATATTGAGGATAAATTAAAAGTAATTAATGAATGATGCATTGATGCATACAAATTTGCACAGTATAATTGCTCTATATAGTTAACGTTGACTTCGATTAGTGATGTGATAAACTCACAAACTATAGTAGTTAGTCTATTCACTAATAACTATTATTATAACAACTTAGCTTACCACACCTAATGAGACACTTAGATCGAGTCCAATATTAAACAGGAATGAAATAGGAGATGTACGTAACAGAGGATCGGCACATGTATAGACGGTGCATGCAGTGGCGGAGCTAGAAAAAAGGTCCAGGGGAGTCGAAAATCAACTAATTACAAAATAAAAATGGTGGAACATTTTTAGACAATATCCAAGTTGAATGTTTTATATATAGTTAAGATAAATAGACACTCATAACAAGAAGATAGATTGTTTTTGCTCTGTTTCTGAGTCATATCACGTAAGTAATGAAATAATTATACGCTATTTTTAAAATTTTGGAAAATAATTCATATTACGCATCAAATTTTGCTGATTTTATGCTTAGATAGTGCTGATTTTCCGGAAGTTATAACTTTTTACTCGTAATGAGTTACGGGGGCCATAATATATCAAATCGGATATTTCAGAGCTCTATACTCTCAAACTTTCAGCGGGGTCGGCTGACCACTCTGACCCCCACTTGGCTCCGCCCCTGGGTGCATGGTAAGTCATTATTATAGAGAAAAGCAAGTTAAGCAACCGATTTTTTAATTACAAACACAATCACGCATTATATATATTTTTGAAGGCAAATTCTATGATACCCTCAGTTCAAAGTACCATACTTTGTCCAGATGAACCAAATATAATATTGCAGTTGCATCATTAAAACATAAATGAAAGACGATACAATGATTTTGACTAATAAGATGCATGATAAGTATAGTACATCATTTTTTAAATGTGTATTATAGCGTTCACCTTTTTTATGTTACGACACAAGAAAAATTTATATAAACACTTAAATATATACATATATTATCCCATGTCCATTAATGGCATTGAACCATGATACATTATCAAAAATTCAAGATAGTTAGAAATAAATTCATATTTATCTCATATAAACTAGTGCTTCTTGAAATATAACTATAGTCCATAAGTCACTAAAATTCAAAATGAAAAAAATCAAATCATCACAGTTTTGAAATTAAAAATGCAAATACTCGAAGTTCATAGATAAAAGATTTTTCAATGAAGATGATAGAAAATAATACTCTAACAAAAAAACTAAAATTTATAATATATACTACCTCCGTTCTCTTTTAAATGCAACATTAGACTTTTTGCACTATTCACATATTTTATTTTGACTCTATTTTATTTGTTAATGTATTATAAATTAAATTTTAAAAAATATTGTTAAACTCATCTCATTTTAATTTCAAAATCTAAATTTTGTAATTCTTTTACTAATGATGAAGAATGAAAGATATTAGTGATCAAACTTATGTTTTGGAAAATGTGAAAAGTATATATTGTTGATACGTATATCTTTCAGAATACGTGTATCTGAATTTTTTAATATAGCTACCAAAAAAATTGGAAACTTTAAATAAATTGTAATTACAGCCCAAAGACGTACGGTACATGTATATATCTTAGCGTATCTGACAGGAAGACGTTTTCGATACACCAGCACGATACCCTAGTCAAATATATGTGCTACATAGGTTGTAATTGCTTTCTCGCGGTGGAAATTGTGCAATAAAAAAAGGTGTTTTGGATAATTATTTAAGGTTTAGTCCTATGTTTAGACGACTTTTAGTTGTAGTCCTGTTTAAGGGAAAGATGATAAGTTTTTATCATATTTGGGTAAATTTCCCAAATTTTTATAGTAAAAAGTATATACATGAAAGAAATTAATCAGCCGATCAAAAATAAACAAATAACCAGCCGATCAAAAATAAACAAATAACCAGCCGATCAGATGAGAAATTCATGACTAGGCATGGCAATGGGTCGGGGCGGGGCGGGTAGTCGGGTACTGCAAGACCCGGACCCGCCCCATGACTTAGCGGGGCGGGTCCGCCCCGTCCCGTGACCTGCACGGGTCCAAACTTGTTGACCCGTGACCCGCCCCATGTGGGGCGGGGCGGGTCCGCCCCGCCCACCTAATTAGCTAATATGTATTTCTATTTGTGGGAAGTTGTTACCAATTGAATCTACATAAAGTTTATCTATGAATAATAATTAAAAATTAATATATTAAATCAAATTCATGATACGCTAATAATTTCAAAAATTGAGGAAACATCACTCAGACTTGAATAGTTAATCTATTTAATTATATTAATAATTGAATATATGTATTAAAATGCTATATATAACGCATACATTGATAACCTGTCGTTCATCTCATTCTAATATATATATTAATATATTATAAGATCAAAGAATTTAATATTTATTGTATACACACATATGAATGTTTAAGTATATTTGTAGTATAATTTAAGAAAAAGGAGCGGGGCGGGGCAGCACGGGTCAATACTAAGACCCGGACCCGCCCCATTGTATAGGCGGGGCGGGGTGGACCCGCCCCAGAACCGGCCCGGCCCGGTCACTGTTTGAACCGGCCCGAACTGCCGGCCCGACCAGGGACCAGTCTGGGTAGGCCCGACCCGCTGGGGTTCCGGGCCGGGCTCGGGCCCCTCAAAAGGTGAACCGGCCCGGCCGGTTCTGGCCCGGTCCGGGCCAAATTATTTTTTTCCCCCCTTTTTTTTGAATTTTTTTTTAAGTTTTTGGGTTGGGTTGGGTATTTTGGGCCATTTGTGGTGGTTTGGGGGTGAGGGAGGAGGGTTGGGGGTTAATTAGGAAAAGCCCAAGAAAAAAAATTGAACCACCGGCCCGGCCCGGCCCGGCATGGCCCGACCCGGACCCAGGGGTTACCCGGGCCGGTTCCGGGCCTCCCCTTTCATGAACCGAGGCCCGGCCGGGCCTAGGCCCGAACCGGCCCGAGTCCACCCCTACTTATAAGTACGGATATGAGAAACTAAACTTTTGATTCATTGCAATGTCATCTTATGTTTAGAGCAATGCCACTTGTGTATTAGAAAACGTGTTCATTTACAAATATATACACATAAAAATATCATGTAAGAAACGACTCTTAAACTGAAACTTCCGAATCCCATCAACTTAAGTTCATCAAAGAGTTCATGGTCAGCTTGCAAGGCAGCCATTCCTGAATTAATAGCCAAACCCAAATAAATAGTTTTCAAAGTGATTATTCCACAGAACATCGAATCACAAGAAACTCATCTTTTTCCCAATCATTTGCTTGTTTCTTAGATATGTTTTTTACTTCAGCATAATTTTTATTATCATATTGGGGAAAGGGTAAAGCGGTTTGAAGAAAACAAAACAAAGCAGAAAAAGATGGGCTTTAACTAGTCTCCACTGAACAGAGTTCAGTCTGGAGCTCAACCAGCATGCTTAACAAATGAAAGATTTGCAGTTCCCTCCTTAACTGAGGCTATCAAGTGTAGCAAGCACTTTTGTGACTAACAGTAGAACATATATAGATTACCAGTTAAACAAAGATGAAAACTGGGGTTACCAGAAATATATATAAATTCAACACAGCACGAATAAGTCAATATCTATAACTGAGTGATAGTAATTTGAAGTCGCGATCAAAATAATCATATTCTACTCTCATTGTAGAGATATGATGATGTCATTCTACAGATTTCTAGCTTCTATGGGTGTCATTCGGAGAAGTACTGCCAGCCAGCAGCAATGCAAGCTACTACTATAACCTTCATGATCAGCTTAGAACTCAAAAAAGATGAAGAAGATGGTGGGGATGTTGACAATGGTGTGTGAGGTTCCCATGGTCGACCTCTCAACTTAGAATACAATTTGGATAATAACATAGTTGAACGACCTGTCCCTTTTGAGGCTGCAAAGATAGATCCGCCAAATGAGTTTCTCTCAGTAAATTTGCGAATGGAAGTGACAAATATTTGACTAAAAAGGATTAATAAATTATCTGGGAGAGTAATACCTTTTCTTTTCAACAAACGCTCTTCTTCATCAGGACGTCTTCGTAGTGCATTAAGCAGTGATCCAAAGTATAGCGCCAAAACGGTGCACGTAATGGTGATGACATTGTATGGCATGCTAAAATCAGGTGTCGTCAAAGGAACAAGTAAGACTTCTGTGTAGGAAACAACTGGCCTTTCGTTCTGCAAAATTGTTAAAATCATAAGTGACATTACAAAAGATTGTCACTTCTTTTTGTCTTTTCTGGTACAAAATCACAAGTACCTGTAGTTTTGATAAAATAGGCACTGTGACGGTAGAGTTATCCTCAGCAAAATGCAGGCTTGTTGTGAACTCGGGGAAGCTAACCACAGCTGATGGGATGTCAAATCCCTGATCAGCATCAGGTGGGTATTCATCTATGTGTAGAAACCCCTGTGAATGGTTTTGAACCAATGGAAAAATAATTGTACATAGATCCTTGACATGTAATGAATTCTGAGGTTCATGATGCCCATTTCATAAAAAGTGACTCCATGTGTCTCTTTTTATCAATTCTTTCCTTTGAATGAAAGCAGTCCGTTGATATTATTTCTCTATTTTGTAAACAAATCTCAAATACCTAGTTTTCATTGTAAAAATTGTGCTAAAGTCAAAAGGGGATATTTTAAAGGATAATGGAACAATAATTTCTTAAAACATTAAAAATTCCTCAAAAAGTGAATAGAGAGAGTCACTATTTACAAAGTCAGAAGAGTTTACTAGTGGACACATTTACCGATAGGACTATAGGAGTAACAGAATGGCATGCTCACTTCAGTTTCAGAATAGTTTTTAAGTTCATATTGCTAAAACAGGTTGAGTTGATGCATTGAAATAGAACTTGCTACTATGCATAGGTACTGAATTTGATCCTGATAGGGTACTAAGCTGGAGAGAGTAATAATATTAGTAATAGAATGATATTAAATAATTGTGGTAGTGTAAATAAAGGTTCCGGGCCATGTAAGTCATGGGTTTAGCCGTCCTTTTAGAATAGAATTAGTATAAGAGTGAGAGGAAGGTGGGGGATGCCGCTCCTTCACGCTGCGGCGGCGGCTATGTGCCTATTTCTTGATCAACACAGGTCGGCCATGAATCTTATAAAAGTGACTCACGATGTGCGAAATTTTCCCGAAAATTTTCCAGGATCCCCGAAGTCATGCAACTTGACCCGATTGCTGAAGAAATCTCCAATAGATTGGCTCTGCAATTGCAACATCAGGGTGTGAACGATGCAGATGCAGCCGGTGCATTGGCGAAAGGTTCAGGACAGAATATATTCTACGGTGGCAATTGCACTCATAGCAGCGAGCAAAAGACTAATTGGGTGAAAGTCAGTGGAGAAAACAACGAAAGAAGCATATTTGATCCCAATGAAACCTTATTTTTGGGAGTCATGCGGTGAAACTCCACTCTGGGAAGAAGGATGCAGTAAATTCCAGATTTATGCAGCCTTCTAAAGACTCTACTGTGAAGCATTTGAAGCAAGTCAAAAGCTCCAATTTCTTTGATGATCTTCCGAAACATTCAGAGGACTCAAAAGCTTCGATTGGAAGAATCTAAACACTAGAAAATGGTTCTTTTATTCACATTTCTGAAGATGAAATTGTCTGGCTCTCTCAGTGGTTCAAATTTGCTCTAATCGGTAAGTTCTCCCATTTTACTCCTTCAGTTGAAGCCATTGAAGAGGCTATTTTGGCTGCTAATCTTAGAGGGTCTTTTAAACTTGAGGATATGGATAAAAAACATGTGTTGTTAAATTTGGATAATTTGGAGGATTATTATAAAATTTTTCAGACACATTTGGTTTATTGATGGAACACATGCGCATTTTGAAGTACACATGATTATAATTCGGAAATAGAGTCTCCTATTATACCAATTTGGATTTCTATCCCGAATCATCCATTGGTCTTCTATGATAAAGCTGTGTTGTATTCAATTGGGCTGCTATAGGAAAACCTATCTTAATGGACTCATCAACAGTTAGAAAGACTAGATTGCAGAGAGCTCGGATTTGTGTCGAGATTGATATCACTACGCCTAAGCTTGAGCGTATTAGGTTGGGTAATGAAGATTTCAACTTTTGGCAGAAATTGTGTTATGAAAATGTTCCCTATTATTGTGAATTTTGTCATCATTTAGGGCATGAAGCTTCCAATTGTTTGTGTATGCCTGAGATTGATAAGCCGGTGCAAATATGCGTTCCTAGATGAATTGTAGATGATGAAAATTTATTTAGCTCCTAAAGGGGAGAGCCCCAGGGACTCTTCTGAAGGTAAAGAGAGTGGTGAGAATCTCACTGCTACATCCTTTGAATCCATTAACAAGGGAGCAGTAGAGAAAGAAGAAGATCAGAAAAAAGATCTAGGCAAGGCACAAGAGGAGGTGACTCCTAGAGGAGTAGAGTCCCATAAAGAAACTCCAGAAGACTTTTCATTCCATGATAAGGCACTCATGGAGAATAATGATGTTCAAATTGTGGGAAAGGAGAATGCCATTATAGTCGACAATAAAGATTTGAAGAATGCTCCGGAGACTCGAATTTTTTGCAAAGAGAACAAGGTAATCGAGAATGATCAAGAATTGCCAAGGGACTCTCCACAAGACAATTATAAAGCTTATTTAGCTGAGCTAAAAGAATACTTTCAACTCTCTACAAGAATTTAATGAAAATCTGAAGAAAAAAGACAAAGAAAAGGAGGTTGTATCTTCTCACGAATCAATTCAACGAAGTCCACCAAAACCATGTCCCTCGAAGCCACCTGACGAAGGTGATTTCATAACAGTGGTGTCTAAATGAACAAGAGACGAAATGAGCACAATTTTAGAACCATTCAGACATGTCAACAAACTCGCTCAAATAAATAGTTTTTAGCTTTTTCCTACTCTCACTTGCTTTCTTCTATCATTAGCGTTTGAAATTTTCTTTTTATCATTTCATCATCATCATTTTCATTTACCCCAGTGCCGCAAAGGCTCCCACCTACGGTGGGGTAAAGGGAAGTCGGATGTACGCAGTCTTACCCCTGTACTAAAGCACAGAGAGCCTGTTTCCGGATGACCAATAGTGAAAATCGCGTCCAAAATTGCATGGACTGACTGCTGCTTCATAAGAAAGAAGCGCAGACGGTTTAGTGAGCCGTTTTGCTTTATTCCATCATATTCTCAAGCCAAAAAATAATGAATCTTAATAGTATTTTATCATTAATAAAAATAATGAAATTTTCTTTTTATCATTAATAATATTTTATTTTCTGCCAAAAAAAAGTGAGAGGAAGGAAAGAAGGAAGTAGGCAGAAATTGGGACTGGGATCTGGGAGTGCAAGACTACTCGAAGTGTCACTTTAATTTCCGTTTCTGATTCTTCTCTTTCTTGTACGCTAGACTACAGTTTCTGCCATTGAAATTGCTTCAGGAATTCTGAAATTTCTCTGAATTCTTTACTTAATATACACAAATTGTCTGGTTCCTATCATTGGTATCAGAGCACTTGCTCCTGGAGTCTAAATCGATCATAGAGGAATTCTATATGTCACCCCGAATGGAGAAGAGTATGGATAATATGGAACGCCATTTGAAGGAGATGAAAGCTATGCAGGACAAGAGGCTGGACGAGATGCGTCACTGTGTGGGTCAACATCGTCGCCAACACCGAACCAGGAACCTTAGGCGTCATCGGCAATCTGAATTCTGAAAGCCAGGGTTCAACTTCATCGCAAACAGTTTCCCCTGGTGCGCAGGTCTCGTCGCAAGCAGAAGATCCCCATGCGCAGGCTTTGTCACTCACCAATCCTCATGTGAAAGACATTGGAATATGCTGTATAATATGCTTTAGAATATTCTTCTATCTTTAGAATATGCTTTAGAATATTTTAGGAATATACTCTAAGATATTATTATTGTATAGCATCTTATAGGAATATTCTATCTTTGTAATGTATATATATATAGGGACTTATCCCTCCAATGAAATACACAGAAAATCTTTCCTCCACTCTTCAATATTATTCTAGTTTATATTTCAACATGGTATCAGAGACTTCCATTTCAGTTTAGTTTTTTTTTTCAGATTTCAATTTTGTTTTTCAGACTCAGTTCTTTCTCAAAGAACTTGAGTTCAGTTCAGAACCTCTGTGCACCATTCTGTCTACAAGAAACTCAACCCAGACAGAACCTCTCTACGCATCATCGCCATTATCCAGAACCTCTATTCAGAACCTTAGTTCAAATTCAGAACCTCTGCCAGGTCCGACCATATTTTTTTTTCCGGCGAATTTCGGACAACACCATTCCTGCCGTCCCCGACCAGGCATTGAAATTACGCAGCTCCAAATTGACGCCCTACAGCCACAGTCCTCTGGAAGTAATCGCAGCTGCCGGCGACTGACACACCTTCCCTCTGGCCGGAGATTCGACCGGGATTTTTGCCACAGACTCGCCTGAGAATCCGCTACCATCAGGTATCGTTTACTTCTCCAGCAAAGGAACGGATATCTGTGGGAGGAAATCTTGTGGTTGGTCGTTGGGGTTTGGCATCGGACATCCGCTCTTCACTGATTCTTGCGTGCTGGGGTCTAGCATCGGATCTCTAGCATATGCTCTAGCGCATCTTCTTTTACTCTGTTTGGAGTCCGAAGCAGTCAACGCCAAAGCCCAAGATAAGATATTTTGTTCTCCTAATTTTGAGTCCATAATGGGAAAGCTGCTGTGAGTTTATTAGTTATATTCGAAGTCCAGAAGCATTTAAATCTTTTAGTCCACAAACCGAAAAAAGCTTCAGTAAGTTTTTTTACCTAATATCCCAAATCATTAAAATGTATTTTCTTGGGTTATTCTCGAGTCCAAAAGGGGTATAGATGTTTTTGTCCGAGTACTGGTCGGTATCTTGTTTCTATTGATGCATCATTTCATGAAAATACACCTTTTTCATCATCTAAGGCAGATATTCATGAGAGTAATGATGATATACTCATTTACACGATGACTATTCCTGAGTCCACACTTTCAACAAATATTCCACAAGTTACTGTTCCTGACCTTAGGCCTCCCGTACATTTGGTATACACCCGTCGACACAAAGCACCTGATCACCCTCCACCGGCGATACCTGTGATTACTTATCCTGATACTAGTTCGACTCCGATCTCATGTCCTGAACCAGTACCTGCATCTTCAGATCTTGTCTCCACATCAGATCTTGACCTCCCAATAGCACTACGTAAAGGTACACGGTCTTGTACTCATCCTATTTCTTCATTTGTGTCGTACAATCAGTTATCTCCTGCTTCATGTTCTTTTATTGCTTCCATTGATTCTATTTCTGTTCCCAAATCTGTCAAAGAAGCTTTGTCTCATCCTGAATGGCGTCATGCCATGGTAGAGGAAATGAATGCTTTAGATCTTAATGGTACTTGGGATTTGGTTGACTTGCCTACAGGGAAGAAATCTATTGGATGTAAGTGGGTCTTTGCTGTTAAGGTTAACCCAGACGGATCTGTTGCTCGGTTGAAAGCCCGATTAGTTGCAAAGGGTTATGCTCAAACCTATGGTGTTGATTATTCTGACACTTTTTCTCCT